AACTAGAACAAAAGATTAGAATATGCATGATCTATAAGAAAATTTTAATTTTTGCTCCTAATAAATACTGTATCCATTGATAGTATTTCTTACTAACCTATTTGTTTAATATAGCTTCTAAGACCAAATATTCATATGTACATTATATGAATCAGGTTTCTAAAAAGACTTAATTTTGGAAAAATACTCATATTTGAATGAAGAAAATTTGGTGTGAAAGTGGTTCCGGGCCAGGCGTGGTGGTTCACGCCTGTAATCCCAGCACTTTGGAAGCCAAAGCAGGCAGATCGCTCGATCTTAGGCATTTGACCCTGTCTCTACAAAAAAATTAAAAATTAGCCCGTGTGTGGCATGCACCTAGTACCAGCTACTTGAGAGGCTGAGATGGGAGAATCGCTTGATCCCAGGAGGTGGAGATGGCAGTGAGCCAAGATCATGCCATTGCACTCCAGCCTGGGCAACAGAGCCGATCCTGTCTCCAAAAAGAAAAGAAAGAAAGAGAGAGACAGAGAGAGAGAGAGGTAAGAGAGGGAGGGAAGGAAGGGAAGAGAGTGGGAGGGAAGGAAGGGAGAAAAGGAAAAGGAAGAGGAAGTGATTCAAATACAGAATTTATGTTTATAAGGAGAAAACTTTTCCAGTGATATTATCAATTTCTCCTCAATCACAGTTCTCTCTTTTGTCTCTATGTACATGGAACTCACTATCATACTTAGTGCAAACCATTTACACCTGAAAAAGAATTTAAGTAGTGATTACTATCCATAAACGATAGATAAAAGTCTGTTTCTAAACTACTGGCAGAAGCTGGTAAACAGACCCTTGATTACCATTCCAGGGAGTGAAATGAAGCACCTCAGTATGAAAAGCCATGTGTGAGATTCCAGATGCCTTTGGTTTTAGATCACAAAAAACCTTGTACCTGGAAATCAGATATGGATTTAATGCTAGCTGCCTCTTTCACTTGCATGCACTAGCTCTTCAGTCTTGGGCAACTTACCCACCATCCCCCAACCTGGGTTTCTCCATCTATAAAATGGAATTCATAACACTTAGCCACAAAGGCTTGTTAGCATTAAATGAGGGGACATATCTGAAAGTTCTGCTGCTGTCTGTGACACAGTTGACAATCAAAAATGATATGAGATAGTGAGAATAACTTTGCAATGGTGTGCTGGGCTGCAAATAGCTTTTCCTGTTGAAATGAAGCATGTTCTATGTGAGAAGAATGTTTTCTCAGAAGATAGGATATTATTTAACTTGCTGCTCTGTCAGTTTGGCAAAGGTTAAGGTTACAAATTGTACAGAAATTTCTGTTCATTGCTGATCCGCCTATTGCATATTTTCAAGGCCATTCTGATATGAATTTAAACTAGAAATGCAAACTTGACTGGAATTTCACTTCTGGGTCCTCTAGATAGACCCAGTATTTAGTTGAACATAGAGAAGAGCTTTGTATATACCCATATGATAAACCATTGTTTTTGGTTTTCATCCAGGTTTTAAATATGACATTGACTGAACTTAAATAGTTACTGGCTTTTTCATTTGACCTCTCACTTTTTGTGATCATCGCATTAACTTTATCCTAAAAACTACATAAAGTAGTATAATAGTATGATTCAACCTTTCCTAGAAAATATTTGTTACATTCCCCAGCTAGAATAAGAAGCGTTTGTGTGCAAATGTAGCCTATGTATTTGTATGTGTCTCTGCTAAAGAAACTTGAAATACAAAATTATATAGCATTGACATTTTCTTTTCCTGGTATTTTTGTGACATACCGTTTGGATAAATACAGAAAACTGACGTCATACACCTGAATCTGCCCTAGCTAGGAAGTGAAAAGAAATCACCTCCTTAAACTTGAAAGACAGTAGGCAGAATGTGGAAAATCCCTCAACAATCCCATTTTAAACACGGTTTCCTGCCCAATACCTAATTCTGTTTTCAAATGGAATTATTAAGGTTTAAAATATGTCATTTAAGGGAAGTAGAAGGGCGGGCTGGTCTGTTGTCTCCCAATGCATTAAAAATATCCTCTTTGCAAGGCATCTTGGAAGAACATGCAAATTCCAGGGCTGGTGAGAACCACTATTGAGAAATACTGTGCTGGATCTTCATGTGATGTTTATGACAATTACCGAAGGTAGCTACTACCCACATTTATTTCAGAATCATTTCTGAAGATCAGCTAAAAATGCTGTTAACTATAAGAGACTCATTCTGTCAAAATGTATTAAAGTGACACACCGTTAATGCTAGTTCAACCTAAAAAAAAATCAGCCTGTAATGAAATGCTTTATATAAACTCTGGAAAGCTGGAAAATTCACAGTTCTCTACTAAATTGGCCAGTATTTGAGACCCATGGTGGTGTGCAATAGAAATGGTAATTTGACTCCCTGCAGTGGCTTAGTAATGTTCCCTTAATCTTACTCATGTATGTGTTTGCTTTTGTGAATATGTCTTAGGAGCTTAGAAATGACTTTTCTTCAAAAAGGGGAAAGGATTTGGAAGAAGCAGGTGAGGACAAAAGAAGAGAAATGTATTTTCCTTGACTACTTCCCATCTCCCCACCTCGTAGAAATATAGACATCAACACACACATAGACACACATATACTTTGAACTGAGGCATGTCTATAAAGAGCATTTTGTTTGTTTTATTTTGTTTTTTTGTTTTGTTTTGAGACAGAGTTTCGCTCTTGTTGCCCAGGCTGGAGTGCAGTGGCTTGATCTTGGCTCACTGCAAATTCAACCTCTAGGGTTCAAGAGATTCTTCTGCCTCAGCCTCCTGAGCAGCTGGAATTACAGGTGCCCTCCACCACATCCACCTAATTTTGTAATTTTAGTAGAGATGGAGTTTCTCCATGTTGGTCAGGCTGGTCTTGAACTCCCAACCTCAGGTGATCCGCCCACCTTGGCCTCCCAAAGTGCTGGGATTACAGGCATGAGCCACCACACCCAGCTTATAAAGAGCAATTTTTAAGTGATTGTGGGTTTTTTTTTTTTTTTTTTTTTTTTTTTGCCAAAATGAGAGCATCAAACACTGAACCCAGTGCCCCCATCCTCACACTAGGAATAATCAGAACCTGCATCCTCAAGTGTGAAGTCTTCAGTTCAGAAGAAAATACTAGATTATATTGGCATACAAACAAGGGCTAGAACCAGATGAAAGTGTCTGCAACACTTTATATCCTTCTAAAACTTGATAATGAAGCACCAGCAGACTTTACAAGGGTCAAATTGAGGCAAAATAAAAGCTGGCATACTCTCCTCGTGATTTATTATTTGATCAAATTCACAGCCCTTTTCTGATCAACTTATTAAAGTCCTGTTCAGAGGCATTTATCATCAAGGAGCTCTTAAATGTGAAGAATGTGATGGAGAATACTTTCTCTATCTCATATGCATGTCAGAAATAAAATGGTATTTTCTTCAGGAACAGAAGGTTCATGACTCAAGGGTCTTTATGTCACAGTTCTCAAATCAAAGATTGCTCTATATATAGGCGGATGAGATGGATGATCATTCAGAAAATACTACTTGAAGAGTGATTTAACATCTTGGAATAGCTTTCTGCCACCCATCTTGACTCCATCTTCCCTCCTTCCTGGCTTGAAAGTTTCTCCATTAGGAGGGAACTTGGTTTTTACACGTTTGTAATTAAACAAACTCCCTGGGCAAATCTTCTAACCTTCACTGTAAGTACAGACTGGTATATCAGATTATCTAGCTAACATTTGTGGCTATGATGGACAAAATATAGTTAAATTTCATTAAAGAAAGAGAATACAAGTGAAATTTATATCATCATTATCATTTTGACCTCCTTACAACTGTACTAAACTATGCCTATTATCTGGCTCTGATTTCTGTTTCCATCTTCTATTCTATTCTTCCCTCTCATGTTCCGTTGACTGGCCTTCTGACCATTTCCTGTATATACCTTACATGTTCCCACACCTGTGCCTTTGTTCATTCTCTTCCCAAAGCCCTCACAAATGTCAAATTCTTGACAATTTGTCCATTGGTAGATGAGATCCCTTGAGACAGCTGTGCACAGTAAATATTTTAGCTCCAATGAGCAGTTATGAGCTGTGAGTGGTTCTTGAATTGTAATGTACATAAGAAATACTGGGAGTGCTCGCCAATGATGGAGGTTGTGTAGCCCCACCTCCAAGATTCTTATCTGATAGTTCTTTGAGGACCCGGAATATGCATTGTTAATATACATTGTCCATCAGGTGATTCCAATGCAGGTTATTCCACAACCACTTTAAGAAACACTACTTTAAGAATATCTCTCTTTTACTTTTTAAATTTCTGGCAAAAGTCTTATAAGAAAACATTTTTTTCAAAAAAATTTATTATTAATTTCTGGAAATCCCATTTCAGAAATATTAGAATTCAGACAGTCTTATCTTCTACCTTCTGAGCTGGGTTGAAAATATTTGGATGAAAGATACCTTAATGTGGGTTAATAAAATTGCTATTAATCACTTATTGAGAACATGCAGGAATCTCAAGAACATGCCATAATCTGCATCACTATTGTACTCTCTCTGCCAGGTCTGTAGTTAAAGAGTAACAAAACAACTGTTTATGAAAAGGGTAGGTTTAAGATGAAAATAATTCTTTTGCAAAACTCAGGAAACATTATCAGAGCCTGTGGACTGTGCTCTTCCAACTGGAGAATCCTGTATTTGTAATAAATTCCTTTTGCGCTGGATGAGTTCTGCATTTTCAATGAGGTTAACTTGGCAACATTCTAGTTGATTTTAATAAAAATAGCTGCTTTGAGGACAGGGAGCTGAGGTTGCCAAATTTACAGCTGCCTTGCACAATTACTCTTACACTCCTTCAGGGCTACTTAGAACCAGTAAGCAAATTAAGTGTATCGATTGCAATTTTGTTGGACTAACCCTGTTTTTTTTTTCTTAAGGAATAAACTTGATTCCTTTCAGTATGTGTCTGTTCAGAGTGATCTCTTTTCTTTTCAGCCATAACACAAAGACAACATCATGGCTGGATCCACGACTTGCGAAAAAGGCTAAACCTCCAGAAGAGTGCAAAGAAAATGGTAGGTTATTAAGTTTTTATGATGTTTCAGCAATGTGCTTTGAGAATGTTTGTGTTTCTTAAACGAGAGTCTCACCTGAAGAGGCAATAATCTAGGTGAAACAATTTTAAGGATGTAATATTTAATGCTCAGATAAGACAGAGAATTAACTCGGCATTTCAGCAGGGCCATGTGGTTTTGCTTTTTCTCTCTGAGAAGACTGTGCTGAATATCACATCTCTAATCTCTGTTGGTTCTGTCTGACTCCTGGCCTGACTTTCCACCACCTACTAAGGATTTTTTGTTTGTAATATGTCACTCGGAGGACTCTGATCTTTTAATTGGAGTCAGATGTGATGCATAACAGAAACAGTTTGTGGCACTATAATATTTGATTTTGTTTTCAAAGGCATAGCATTCTAGCAGTTATTAAGGAATCAGAAATGTAAAGCCATACTTTCCTTGAATCAAGTATTTGAATAAAATAACCAGTTGCCTAAATGTCTTAGAATATCCTTAATATTTTCCAGTTCTCAATTGTCTAATATTGACCTGCTTCAAAATAGACTGTTTTTATGCATGTGAAGAATTTTTAAAAAATAATTTTGAGGACTAGATGACTGTAAATCTTGTTTTTCAATTAGTAAACTATGTAGGTGAAGTCTGTTACTGATGATACTTGCAATTTTTTTTAAATATTGAGTTTAATTCTAAAGAAGCACTTATAGTTTAGGTAAGATGATCAATAGCATACTCTGATGATTTATTATTTGATGACATTCACGGACTTTATGGATTAAATTATTAGAACTCAATTCAGAGGCTTCTGTCATTGAAGAGCTCTTAAAGGTGAAGAAAATAGCAGAGAATATCTGAACTTTAAACAAAGTTTTTAAAAAGTTAACTTTTTAAAAAGTTTCTCATTCTTAAAGTCCTTTCTTTCCAAGCATAATTCTGACTTTCTCAGATAATATCCACATGACATTGTGCATTCCTATGTTATAAGGTTCACAGGCTAGGGACTGAGTTAAATTAAATATTAGAGATTGTAATTTATATGAACATACATAAATGTACAAATACTCACTTTTAATATATCTATATTTTCCTTTTTTTTTTTTTTTTTTTTTTAGCGATGGGGTTTCACCATGTTGGCCAGGCTGGTCTTGAACTCCTGACCTTGTGATCCACCCATCTCGGCCTCCCAAAGTGCTGGGATTACAGGCATAAGCCACCGCACCTGGCCTGATGTATCTATATTTAATTTTGTATTCATAGCCATATATGTATCCTTTCTGTATAGTAGTACAATTGTACACAGTTGAATCCCAGAAAATTATTGTCTGACCTGAACTTTTAAGCATGATTAGGTTATATTTCATTGACACCAATGAGACATGTGTTACAAAAAGTGATAGTCTGAAAATTAACATGACCTGTTCTGTTAGATCTGGGAGTTATGATTTACTTATGTCACAGATGTAAAACCTTAGTATATCCTAATTAAAGTAAATTTAACAATTTTGCAGTTCTGTGACATATTGAACTTCTCAGCTGTCTTGCACCTTTGAGTTGATCTTTTTATTATAAAAAGTTATTAAAGTCAAATTTTAAAATCCTGGGAGAGATGCAAGCATAACGTATTGCATAATTATAATATTTTGGTGTTACTCATTTTTCTCACATCTGTGCTTATCAGACTTCACAGGATGGTAGAGCCTAAAATATGATGCTGATGTTTTCTGAACCACATGTCATTGAGAAACGAGTTCTAGCATTCAGTTTATAGATCAGGATGATTTGTAACTGGTCAATTGCTATTTGTTTTTATTTACTTCAAAATAAATAATTCATAGACTATATTATTGGACTGTTTTACAGTGGAAATTAACGTCTAGTTTGTTAGAATGTTATTACTCTGGACACCTATTTTAAGTTTTGTTTCCAAGAAAAGTGCTTTTAGGTAATATTGTTACCTATATTTTACTTTTCCTTAAATGACATAGATAACTTATTTACAACATTGGATGTTAGTGAATTGCTATTGAACTTGCCGGTTAAGTCATGTTTCTTCATATGTGACATACTTCAGCTCAGAGAAAAGTTAGTACAGTAGTTTTTGGAATGCAGAAATATGTATAGAATGTGTATTTAAAAATGTAGAGGCTCCAGTGATTGATATCTTTTTCTAGCAAAGATTTACCATTCCTCTGCTAGGCAGATAGAGTGAACAGTAATTACCCTAATCCAAACCAGAACTGAGCCAACGTGAGGTTGGGTTGAGTTTGCCCTGGCTCCCAGAGTTTTCAACTAACAGCCTAGTGCAGGTTGGCAAACATTTTCGGTAAAGGGCCAGGCAATAAAGATTTTAGGTTTTGCAGGTCACACAGTTTCTTTGCAACCACTCATTGTGCAAAGCAGCTTGCGTCAATATATAAAGGTCATGCATGTATTCTGATAAGGATTTACATATGGACGTCAAAATATGAGTTTTGTAAGTTTTGTATACTTTTTTTTTTAGCCAGAGGAAGCAGCTTTTAGTGATGAGTTGTCTCCTGAGACACTGTGAGAGACTACCAGAGAGACTGTCCTCACTGCCAGTTACCCCCATACCTAGAGGATCACACATTGCTCCACTTTAGGGGGAGGATATAAATTGCCTCTTGATTTTCCAAAGCCCAGTCTTTCCCTTCCCTCTGCAGCCTTAGAAACTCAACAGCAATACTGCTTGGTGTTTTGGCCTTCCCCTCCCCCACCCCAGCAATGCCTTCTGAAGCTACTCGGTAACAACTAGAGGTAGAGGGTAAGGGGAAGCAGTTAGCTGAGTGAAGTGCGATACACGGAAAAACAGGACTGTAGCCTGTCAAAGGTCCCTCTGCCCTGCCTCAGTGGCTTGGTCCTTCATTGGTTGCATTTCTCTTTGTGCTGGATGACACCCTTCTGAATCAGACCAGGGATTTCCACTGCCAGCCCTGAACCCAACCCCAGAGGCACAATATGAGCTAGTCCAAATTTGGCCACATTCCCGGCTCACGAAGAATTGAAATGAACTGTCAGGTATATTTTGCAACCTCTGTATGTCTTTGCTGTCTTTCCATCCAGCTCAGGGACTGCAATTTCTGGGGAAGTAGTAGGATATGTGACAGGAATGTCAAACTGACATTTCAGGAGGTTATAGATATACCAACATTTTCCAAACCACCGAGTCCCTTTCTTGGGCTCCATCATTGTCAGCATTCTTATTGTTCTCCACATACCAGATAAGGGACTGATATTCCTCCTTTAGTCGCTGCACCCACAACTCTTGATCTCGGGGTCCTGCATTAGTCTTCGGCACCAGAATCTCAAACACAACACGTCAGGTGGCCTCATCCGCCATCTTGGGCCAGGGCAAGTTTTATATACTTTCACATAACAAAATAATCTTCCTTTGATTTTTCCTCAGCTATTCAAAGATGTGTAAACTGTTCTTAGCCCATGGGCCACACAAAAATAGGGGTGGGCTGAATTTAGTCCTCAGGGCAAACCGTAACCTACCACATCTGTGTGGGCTCTACTTTTGGCAGGCCTTGAACACCAATATTTTTAAGTATTTTTCTTCTCAGGGCTGCCAGACTCCCAAAAATCTGAGATGCTTTTCAGGGGATTTAGCTTAGCTCTTTGCCTCTAGATCCTGCAGCTCCAGAAGTGACAAGTGTCAGGAGATAACTGATTAACTGTTTGAGATCTCTCACATCTCTACTTGTCACCCCAGTCCCTCAAGAGTCCTCACTTCTGATTTCTTTCATGTCCATCAGCGGCCTTCTTCCAGGCCAAGTCTGTACTGTTGTGAGAGCCCAGACTAAACAAAAGCAGCTTCAGATTCTTCCCTCACCTCTGCAGGGTTCCCTTTGGAGAATCTTAGACCTTCTACAACATGTTGCTTCAGGTAGTCTCTGAAAAAATTGCTTATTGTTTTATATTTTCTCTAGAATTGCTTAAATTGCTTATTGTTTTATATTTTATCTAGACTTTGTTTTCTGATGGGTAATAAGCTACTCACTGCATCCTATCTGGTAGCAGAAATTTTAGTACAGTTATTTTTAAATTGTACATTTTGGATGTTACTGGACCAACTGTCATAAAATCCTTATTGTTATCATAATTTATATGTTAATCACTGAAGATATGTTATTTTATCATGTGTGTGCTTACTATGTATGAATATATAGAGGCAGGTATGTGTATGTAGATATGTATCTGGAAATGTTTGCACCTTCAGATCCATTTGCTTAAATGAGTAAAGTTAATTCCTAGGTCAATTAGTATAGGAGGAAGACAAGTGAAAGAGAGATGAGAGGGGAAACTAGACTAGAGGGAAAAAATAACAAAAGTTCTCATTGGTATTAAGGAGAAAAAGAGGACATGGATGGCTCAGTACAGATACATATTAAAGCAGCACTTATTCTACTGACACTAAAACAATCATTTTGCCTTTTTACCTAAAGGATAATACTGCTACTAAACGTAAAAACATACTTCCTTCTCTCACAGTTGGGCTGGAAGTGCTGAAGCCATTATGTTCTGTGCATTTGTCACAGCTCTGTACACTTTTGGAGTTTCAGCACCAGTCTACATGGCAGAAAAAACGTCTCCACCTACTACTGGATTCTAATATTAGTTTTTGGGGGAGTGCTGTTTAGCAAGCCAATATAGTCTTTTTTAAAATGCCACAGAAATAGCAGTTAACCACAAAATAATTTGGATGCAAGATTGCTTAAAGTATGTATAAAGCACCATCCTATCTGTCCTCTCACAGTCAGTAGCATGGGATCCTCCTGAGACATTTTCAATCACAGGCATTTCTGTGCCGACATCCTGTGATCACTCCTGGGTTAGAATCAATGTCAAAAGTGAATTAAGCCTTGTAGGACCATTCTTTTTTTAAAGTTGAATTTCGTTATTAAACTCAGTAGGATCACAGTATAATGTACAGAAGAAGAAACTGTTTAAGATTTGGAGTCAGGAAAAATTGTTCCAAA